ACACACACACACACACACACACAATATTGAAAACCAGACCAGGCCCAATGTGCATCAGAGGGGGCAGGAGGGTGACAAAGTTTTAAGCGTTCAAGTCAGGCTTATCATTTTGATCTCCTACAGTCATCTCTCCTATACTCTCTGTTTGGTAATCAGTTTGCTTCCATACCTCGATTATGGAGCTAGTGAACTCACCAGAGGCTTGTTTCCTGTTTAGATCACATGACTGTCTTTTGAGTTTCCACGGTCATCCATAGCCTTCTGCAAACCAGAAGCTCACAATTAACTCCGACACGATTCCTTCCTTCACCTTTGGCTTTGCAGTCATGGGGTGGTGGATGTCGGTGTGCTGCTTCCAGGTGGACTTGGTTGACCTCCCGCTTAGATGGCTATTTGTTTGGAAACAAGCCTGATGACCCCAGAAACTGTTCTATCTGATACCTGGGCACCATCTGATTTCTTCACCACACTTTGCTACAGCACCCATATCGTCTCTGTTTCCTTTGTTCAGGCATGCACAAAGCAGGGCCAATGGCATTGATATTTTTTGTCTTCTGTGTTTTTGTTAATTTATTTGCGTAAATAATCAATGCTTTTGGTTTTTTCAAAAAAATTAACCTTTGGTACCATTATTTTTCTATTTAATTGACTTCCACTCTGATTGTTATTATTTTCTTCCACTTTCAATTTAATTGATCCATCATTTCTAGTTTAACATGTAAACTGAAATCTTTAATTTGAGATTATTGCTTTCTAGAGTAGTTGTTAATATTAAAGACTTCTCTTTCAGTAATTTTTAAGTAGTATTTCACATATGTTATCACGCTGTGGTTTCTTATTCATTCAGTTCAAAATATTTTCTAATTTGCCTTTTTAGTTATATTAATGCATTATGTATTTGGAAGTGTGTAATTTAGTGCTTTCTGTGTATCTGCCTCTTACTGATTTCTGAGTTGATGCTATCTGTGTTGGTGAATGTACTCGGCATGCCTTGACTCTTCAAATTTCTGAGACTGCTTTTATGGCCTGGGATATGAGCTCTATTGGTAAATGTTCCAGGTGTTCTTGGGACGTTTATGAGTTATGCTTTTGTTGTGTGACCACCCTATAAACATTAGTCAAACCAAGCCATTGATTATATTAAAATACTTAGTTGTTCTACTCTATTAATTATTAAGAAAAGGGCATCAAAATTTCCATGTATGATTGTGAATTGGTCTGTTTCTCCTTGAAGTATTAGTTTTTTATCTTATATATTTAAAACTGTCATTATTGAGAATTTTTATGTCTTCTTCACTAATCGATGGCTTTATCTTTATGAAATAAATGTATTTGTCCTTGCTGATAGTCTATACTCTAAAATCTACTTTGTTTGATAGTAATATGCCACTCCAGCCTTATTTTGAATAATGTTAAGATGATAAATTATTTCCATCCTTTTATTATAACCAACTTATATATTTATATTTCAAGTTCATTTATTTATGCAGTTCAGTCTGGAAAGTTTGAATTCAGATTGGGATATTTAGCCATTTTTATTTAATATTAGCAGATTTAATATTAGTAGATTCTCCTCTACTAACTTTACCACATTTGCAAATTTTTAACATAACTATGGGAAATAGTCTCTTTTAAAAATATTATTAATTCAAGTTAATATATATCATATCATTCCCTAGTTCAATCACGTCAAGCAGAATTGTACAATTGCTACCACAATCCGTTTCCAAAGACTCCTTTTCTTCCTGGACTCCTTGACATCATCTCCCTTTTAAGCACCCTCCTTCTTCCCCTGTGACCTCTATTTCTCCTTGCTGTCACTACAGGTTCATCAATCTTGGTTTTCGTATACCAAAACACAGAAACATGGGAGATCTTTTCATGCCTTTTTGCACACACAGTGTTTTTTTTTAATTGGCTAAAGCCTTTATACATTTTACCTTGTTTTGTGTTGGTTATTTTTGTAGTCCTATTGATATTCATGGTTGTATTTTTGGATGAAGTTCAATGGTTTGAAAACAGTCTATTCATTTAAGTTCATGTTTTAATATCTGTTAAGCAGGCCTGCAGCTATAAATACTGTTAGAACAAACCTTTATGCATACTCTGTTCAATCGCTAATGAATCATGTGGTATTTCTAATTTCTTAATCGACACAGATTTTGGTCCTGACTCTTGATTGTAGGACATTGTTTTTTCTCAAACTGTTGAGTGATTCTAAGGTTGTGTCTTGCACGTCTAGTTGATCAGTTCTCAGGTGAGTACACAAGAGAGGCGTTCTGCAGGTTTCCTCGGTTTTCCTCTGTGCAGCTCTGTCTTTTCTGCTGTACATTCTATGAACTCAATCTACCACACATTCTCCAGACTCTGAGCTGTGTTATTTCAGCTCAGGAAATGGTTAGTCCTTACTTCCTGTCCTATGGCCTGGACACGTCCTTAAGGCATTGAGTACGTACAACAAAGCTGTTGTCAGGTAGTCGGTTCTGACTCCAAGTGACTGACTGTTAGGTTTCTGAGACATCTGTAATAGAACAGACATCCTCTTCTTTCTCCCTGAGAGTGCCCAGTGGGTTTGGACCGTCCGTCCACCTTGTGACTAGCAGCCCAATGCTTACGTTTATTAGCTGGGATAATTGTAGGTCTCACATGATGTGTTTTCTCTCTCTCAGTTGTCACTGTCCTTCATTGCTTGATTTATTGTCTAGGAATCTTTTTTTTTTTTGCTCACTTGTCAGTTATTTGAAGTGAACTGTTGAGTAAGCACTGGGCTGCAAATGCAAAGATGGATAGCTCAGATCACTAGCTGTTTCCTAGAGAAAGATGAGGCTGTCTACACCTGTAAAGATGTACAGTCTCAGAAACCCTACATAGGGTCACTATGCGTGGGAATTGACTTGCTCGCTGTTGTGAGTTTTGGAGTGAGAGAGTAAACCTAATCCCTGTTACCTCATTTTACCTGGGGCAGAAGTAAAATTAACCTCATTAGCTAAACTATGATAGAATTGTTCATGTTACTTTGTCTCTTTCCCCAATTTACAATCAATATATGCAATACCTTTTTTATTCAGTTTTCTCTGAGGACTCTCCTTGTTATGAAGAAAACATGGATTGGAAAATCATCACTGATAATTATTTTTTATTTCTGCATAACTTACTCAAGTCACCAACAGCTTCAATATCTAGGTAAGTTTCAGAATTCAAATTCCATGTCTTGATTTAACTATCACCTAAAGAAAAACAATATCAAATTTTAGGATATGCATACTGGGAATGCAAAGATCTTGATTTCAATATTCACACAGGATTTTATATTAAGTGCCCAATAAATGTTTGTTTAATGTAACATATGATACTTGGAAACATGTTTCCTTAATGTTAAAAAAGGAAAGTAGATTATAGTAATAAGCCTTTACTTCACTAGAAAGACCTATAGTCATGGTTTTGTGACTTTCTTTTGATCAGAAGTCTGGTATAGAAACTTTGTTCAAAACTAGTAACAAGATTTATAATAAATATTCCCAAACAATATTTTGATTTAAAAGATAGTCTTATTTATTTTCGTAGGGTTTATCCATAGGTATAAGATTTAGAGTCTTGTAGTTTTAGAGACTTTGGGGAGAGAGAAGTGCTCTTTCAAAAAAAAAATCTGCCAGATTATTTACTGCCCTACTATTTCACATGTATTTAATGGGATTTTAAAAATATATTAAAAATGGCTGTAGTTTAAAGGTACATTTTTTTCAGGGTATATGGGATTGCAGTGGGGCATACATTTTACAACAGTAGCTATTAAAATTGTGTATGGACTAGACTAATTTGTGATGTTTGCTAAAAGTATAAAAGCCTTGACCTTTTCCCAGTCATACTGAATCCTTCCCTCTGTGCAGAATATTTTAAAAATTCTAAAGATTATTCTGGTGTACATCAAGGCTGGAAACTGTTCTGCTCCAGTTATGCAGACAGCTGGGTAATCTTTTAAGTCCAGTTAAACAGGTTAGCCCTTCACACTCTCCCAAGAGCATCAGCAAAGAAAGGCCTCTTGACCTACTTTGGTAAATATTGCAGTCAAGAAAACCCTGTGGAGCAGTTTTATTCTGGAACACGTGAGGTCTCCATGAGTGAACATTTACTTGACTTCAACTACTTAAACTATATACATGTGTTATTATTGTTAGATGCCATTGAGTGTGTTCTAACCTATAGTGATCCTGTGCACAACAGAACAAATCACTGCCTAGTCCTGTAGCATCCTCACAATGGTCCCTATGCCTGGGCACATGTTGCAGCCACTGTGTCAGTCCATCTCATTGAGGGTTTTCCTCTTTTTTGCCACCTCTCCACATTACCAAGCATAATGCCTTTCTCCAGGGATTCTGAAAATGGTTTGGGGCCTTCACTGTCATCCTTAGCCTTCTGCAAAGCAGGTGCTCAGAATTTAAGCTCTAATACAATTCCCTCCTCTGATCTTGGATTTTATTGTTTACAATACTTGGATCACACAGCCTGGTATTCTTCTTCCATGTGAGCTTAACTGACCTATAACTTGGATGCTGGTTATGAAATAAGCTTTTAAGATTCTAGATGCTATTCTTTCTGATAGCTAGGTGAAAACCATCTGATTTATTGACCTAACTTTGCTATAGGACCCACTTCATGATCTCTTCATGAGGGTAAGTATTGTAGTGCAAGACATTTTGAGGTATAACACTGAATTGAATCCTAAGATTCATTTGGCATCACTAGAAAAGTTATTTTTAATAATAGTTCATAGGAACACTCAGGCGTTTATTTTTAAATAAATAAAAATGTATTCTTTTCTTTTGTAGGAAACACATTTAAAGCTATATATAAATTTGCAATTGCACTGTGGATTTCTAAAATACTTTCAAATACTTGTATTTGCTTAAAATATCTATGTTTTAATATAATTAAATCTGAATATTATCTTGGAAATGTATTTAAATGTATCCATATTTAATTGTTTTTTTACTAATACTAAAACAATTCTATTCATATTTCAGGATCTTAAATTCCACAAAGGATCACCTAATGATGGAAAACAAGTTACATCACCTTGAGGATGAGCAAATTTTAGTACTTCTGAACCTTTGGGAACAATTATTTTTGCCTACAATTTTAAACTCATCCAGTGTGCCCAAAGTTCACAACCTTTCATCTCACATGGAGACTTTTCTGAATAAAAGCCTTTTGTGGATCAATTATTTTAAAAGTTTAGAGAGAGACCCACCTGCTATGGATACCGAGAATCTTTTGAATTTGGGTAAAGTCATAATAAAAAAAATACAAACTTCTGAAAATCACTGGATAAGGAAGAAATCCGAAAATATGACCACGTACACGGAACAGATGCATTTTGGAATTAACCCCAAGCTACTGGAATTGTTGTTATATGACATTTTTGAAGGGAAAAGAGCTAAATTGGAAACCTTGTCTACACTTCTGAATTTTTCTGCTCCAGATAGTGAAAGGAATTTTAGTAAAAACTTTAACTTGACCCAGTTGTTCCATTCAGATTGGTCAAACCCAGGGGGTGTGAATCTGGATTTTTTGCATTTGAGTGAAACCATATTAGGTGGTCTCTATGAAATTGGATTTATGAGACAGGAGCAGGTTTCAGAAGCTCTGGCCACCATCTATCTTATAAGGAATGCATCTGATATTTTTTCAATGCTTTCTGAATATCAAAAACAAGAAGTTGACAAAATTTTGACTCAAGTATACCAAAATATCATCAAGGGCAAGGATTCAGCTTTACTTCTGCAAATTTATTCTTTGTTTTACCAACACATGCACAAATTCTTCCTGAGCATTCAGGATAGAGAGCCTTTGCTAACTTTTCTTACACAAATATCAAAACATATTTTGGATATTTTAAAGAAATTTAATTTCCAAACCATCAGCAAGGCATTTGCATTTTTTTCTGAGATAACAAGTTTTCTTGGTAGAATTTCTGAAAAATCCTATTGTCAGCAAATGCTTTCAATTTTTCAGTTTCTGGAACTTCAAGCCCAGGCACTGAAGTCCACTAAGGGCCAAGACTTGGAAATGATCCATGCTACCTTGACTAGCCTCAAGCAACTCTTCATAGTAGATAAAGATTTTCGTATTTCTTTATTTGACTATCTAAGCCAACTCTTCAATAGCTCAGTAGAAGCCAGGTTAAGTAATGAATGCTTTGCATTGAATAATAAAGATTTTTCTCCTCTAAATAATTCAACAGATGGAATATCTTCATTTGGTCTTCTGTGGGCACAAATTCTTTTAAACCTTTCTGCAAGTGGCAGTACTTTCAATGAGTTTATGGCCATTCACTGCACCATGTCATGGTTCAAACTGTGGACTGAAATCTGGGAACGTATATCTCAAATATTTAAGTTGGATGCAATCCTTTTCACTTCTCTTCACGTTGGTCTCAATCAAGTTTTGGATGAATTGGAAAATGATGTGAAGATTTCTAAAGACTGCCAGGGAATATTTTCAACTAATCACCCTGCTATACTGCTATTACATTTTTTAAAAACTGTAACTCAAGCTGGTGGCTTCCATAACTGGAATGATTTCCTGGACCTCCATGAACTGTGGGTAGGACTAGGTGATGCATTAGTTATAGTAAAATCCCTTCATCCTGACAAAATAGAGAAGTCCCTTTTCGCCATGGAAGCCACCCTACACCAACTAAAGACTTTTCCATTGAATACAAATTTAAGCAGAGAGTTTTTATATTCTCTGCTTGAAGTGTTTATTGAGTTAAGCAATACCTCAGAATATATAGATAGAAATCTATATTTACCAAGTTATGCCTTTTCAAATAATCTAACAATTTACGGGGTAAAGTTTCAAAGTGTCATCACAGAACTAAGAGAAACAATATCATTTCTTAGAAATGTATCACAAGACCAAAAGTTGTTGTCCTGTGCTGATGTTTACCAAAGTGTTACTACATTTATTTTTGAAGATGATTTACTATATGCAAATGCTTCACAGAGAGCATTCTATATTTTGGCTATGTTAAATTCCACATTTTCCTCTGAGAACATAATTCACAGACTGAAGGGATGCATTGCATGGGTAGATGTCATAAATAATTTATCTGGTCTATATAACTCCAGTGTTCTACCAGGTCATCTTCAAAGTATTCTCGGGAATTTTAGAGATACGGAACCCAAAATAGGCATGGCAGTGAAACTTATTACTTGGGCTTTAAATATAAAGAAACCTCTTTGCTCACGGAATGCGTCAATTATAAATTGTATTGATATTTACCTGAAAAATGTAACAGAATTTCTAAATGTTATACTTACTGCAGCCTTTGAAAAAGAGCTAGTACCAAAATTTGATAATTTGTTAACTCTTTTAAATGATTCTACAAATCAAATAAGAATGATTATCAGCAACTTAACACAAGACTTAGATTTTGCATCTCAGTCTAACTGGAATCATATTGCTGACTTATTTCTAAGACACACAGGAACGTCAAATAAGCTTCCTAACCGATTCCAAAATATTTGGCTACATTTAATAGCACTGGGAAAGGAAATACAGAAACTCGTAAAAGATATATCTTCTAACACGGTGGAAAATAGTTTGTCTTCCCAAAATGAAAAGCTTTTAAATGTTTTTACCACCAGTCCAAAGGAAAAAGACTTAAGTAGTTTAAGAAATTCAATTTATCAATTTGCTAGTTACCTAGCTTTCAGCTTGCCACATGATCTTCAAAATTCCTCAAAAGTAATTCCACCTGAAGTGATGCAAAATGTGGGTCTTGGGATTCAGCTGTTTAGGGATGTGTTTAATGCTCTCCTGCCCGCAGCTCAACATGATATGACGCAAAACACAGTCAATATTCAAGTTTTAAAGAAGGTGTCTTCTTTGATGCACACTCTTAAGAAGGCAGACATCGATATTTTAGTGGATCAACTGGAACGGATCACTGAAAACCTAATGGATTTCTTTAAAAATATCAGTCGAGCAGATACTGACAATTTGAAGATCAACTTGCTGGTTGGCTTAATGGAAAACTTCATAGAGAGCTCACATTCCTGGAACGTAAACCACTTGCTGAAGCTCTCGCGCCTGTTTCCTAAGGATGATGTTAATGCCGTGGTAGATGCATACTACGTGCTTCCTCATGCCGTGAGACTTCTGCAGAGAGTAGTTGACAAAAACATTACAGAAGCCCTGAAGGATGTCTACAACTTCACACTTCTTCATGGCATAACCATTTCAAACATTAGCAAGGAAGACTTTGCAGTTGCAATAAAAACTCTTTCAGATACCATTGAATTAGTAGTTGATAAGCCAGGAATTATTTCAGAGATAATAACCTGCCTTCCTGAGATTTGGTGCTGGAATCATGCGACATCGGAATTACATCAGAAACTGAAATCAGAAACCTGTCATGGTTATAGGATGGTTTTTTCTTCTTTTTACGGAAAAATATCTGGTGTACTAAAGCACCTCCAACTGCCTCGGCTAGATGAAAATGTCCAATGCTCAAATACAAGTTCAAGAAGGGAACTGACTAGCAAAGTGGTTTGTATAATCCATGAACTAACGGACTGGAATTCTATCCTGCTAGAAATGTCAGAAGTCTTTCACCTGAAGACATCTCTTGTGGAAACGGTACAAGAGTTTTTGAATACACTATTACCCTACGTCTTGTCTTCTGGATTTCAAAGTAATGACAGCGTCTCTCAGCTTTGTACTGGTGGTCCCTTGAAGCAAGTTGCCTGGCAAATCATAAAAACACTTAAAAATGTTAATATAAGTAACGTTTTATCAGGTGAACATTTTTTTGATAGCCTAGCTAGTTTACAGGAGATCCTTAACATGAACGAGGGTACAGATGAGGCTGTTCCACAGAATAATTCCTTAGATTTGGAAAGGATAGGAAAATCAATTTCTGATGTCCCGAGGACCAAGAAAGAAAGTCTTGATCCTCCTTATATGTTCAAACCGGCATCATCTTTCAAAAATTACATGAAGAGAATCTTCGTATTGCTTGAATCCTGGCAAAAAGAGCTCCGGCTGACTGATGAAAGGTAACGAAACATCTAATTCTTTTCATTGTTTTCTGACTACCGTAACTCTAAAATCAAATGATGAAAAAGTTACCGTAACATGGTGAAAGTAGTCCTTTCGGTCTTCAACTTACATTATTTTCTGAAGTCAACTTTGACTCTCTTCTTTTCACTATTAAATTCCTTATTTGGAATTCAAATATGCCATGGTTTGTTTTCATCATTTGTCTAAAGAATAACTGCATAAACAAATGTTCTATTTATTTTCTTTGGTAACCTCAAGTGCAAAAACCCAAACTCACTGCCACTGAGTGGATACTGACTCATAGTGACCCTGTGGTGCAGGCGTGAGCTGCCCCTGTAAGTATCTGAGACTGTAATTGTTTAGGGGAGAAGGAAACCCCATCTTTTTCCTTGCAGTAGTTAGTGGTTTCGAACTACTGATAATGTGGGTCACAGCCCAACACATAACCACTATGCCATCAAGGCCCCTTTGGTAGCCTAGTGTCCTATTTTCTATATAGGTAAGAATAAGAGGGCACTCACTTCATTGCACATTTCATAATAATACTTTACTTTGTTTTCTCAAACTCGCCTTTTGGAATTTTCTGTTCAGATCTTTGATTACATCATTTCTTCCATGTGCCTTAGCTACTCTACAATTAAGAGAAAATTTCATTGTCTCTTCTAATATGCACTTTGATTTTTCTTTCTTGTTTGAAAAATACAGTTTATTAGTGTTGAATGCATTAAATCTGTTCTTGAGATGATAAACTGAAGGTCATATTTTGGCTATCTGAACTTACATATAAGCATTTGCTGGTCTGTTTCACAGATGGGCCCTGGCCTGGGTTTAGCTACAAATATTGACTTTGTCTATCGTCTCTTCCCACAGATGTAGTCAATTTTATTTCAGTGTATTTCATCTGGCCAATCCCATGTGTCCGTCTATGTTGGTTTATATTTGCTATGAACAAAGTGTTGGTCTCAAAAATTCTATTATGAAAGCTGCAGCTTCATTTCTATCCCCAAGAACACCTTCTCTAACTACTATCCCTTCCTTTTTGCTTCTAAGTTTTGCATTCCAAGTACCAATAATTATCAATGCATCTTGATTGCATGTTTGATCAATTTCAGTTTAGAGGGTTTGGTAAAGTCCTTCAAATTTTTCATCAGGAGCTTTGGTGGATGATGCATTAATTTGAAGAACTGTTGAGTTAGAAAACCACATGGAACAACATGCTCAATCTATCTTAAACTGAAAGAACTCAAGAAAAAATTCAGGCCTCGAGTTGCAACATTGAAAGTTTCTATGGGAAAAATATTGGGTGATGCTGGAAGCATCACAAGAAGATGGAAAGGATGCACAGAGTCACTGTACCAAATAGAACTGATAGACATTCATCCACTCCAAGAGGTAGCATATGAATAAGAACCAGTGCTACTGAAATGAAGTTCAGGCTGCACTGAAAGCATTAGCCACGAAACAAGGCTCCATTGGAATTCCCATCGAATGTTTCAACAAGCTGATGAAGCACTGGAGGCACTAATTTGCCTGTGCCGGGGAATTTGGAAGATGACTACTTGGCCAGTTGACTGGAAGAGATCAGTATTTGTACCCATTCCTGCTAAAAGTGCCCCAATGGAACAATACCATTAACATTACATGCAAGTAAAATTTTGCGGAAAATCTTCCAATAACAGTTGCAACAGTACAGTAAGTTGCCTGAAGTTCAGGACAGATTCCGGAAGGGATGTGGAACAAGGGATATCATTGCTGATATCAAATGGATCTTGGCTCCAAGCAGAGAATAGCAGAAAGATGCTTGCTTGTGCTTCATCAACTAGGCTAAGGCACTCGACTGTGAGGACCATAAAAACTGTGGACAGCCTTCAGAAGAAAGGAATCCCAGAACTCTGCACTGTGTTCACCAGGAGCCTGTCCATGGATCAAGAGGCAGCTGTGCACACAGAACAAAGGACTACTGTGGGTTTACAATCAGAAAAGGGGTATGCCAGGGTTATATTCTCTCACCATATTTAGTCAATCGGCAATCAAGAGCAAGTAATCATAGAAACTGGATTACAATTCAGTGTAAAGAAAGCCAGAATCCTCAAAACTTGACCAGTAAGTAGCATCATGTAGAGAACAAGGGCATATATCATGATTTAAAATTAGGAGTGTCTCAGGGTCCATTCATCATACTTATTCAGTGTGTATGCTGAGCAATTATTCAGAGCAACTGGGTTATATGAAGAAAAATGTAGCATCAGAATTGGAGAAGGCTTATTAACGGCATGAGGTATACAGATGACACAAACTTGCTTGCTGAGAGTGAACCAGACTTGAAGAACTTGCTGGTAACGAGCGAGGATGGCGGCCTTCAGTGTGGATTACAACTCAATGTAAAGAACACCCAAATTCTCACAACTGGACCAGTAGGGAACAGCATGGTACATGGAGACAAGATTGAAGTTTCCCAGGATTTCCTCTTGTTCGGATCCATAATCAATGGTCATCGAAGCAGCAGTGAAGAGATCAAATGATTCGTTGCATCAGGTAAACCTGCTGCACAGGATCTCTTTAAAGTGTTGAAAAGTGAGGATGTTACTTTAAGGACTAAAGGGTGCCTAACAAGACCTAATATTTTCAATTGCTTCCTCTGCATGTGAAACTTGGACATTGAAGAAGGAAGACCAGAGAAGAATTGATGCAGTTTAATTATTGTGCTGGAAAAGAATACTGAAAGTACCATCGATTGCTAAAATAACCAACAAATCTCTTTTGTTAGAAGCACAACCAGAATGCTTCCTAGAGGCAAGTAAGGCATGACGTAGTCTCAAGTACTTTGAACATGTTGTCAGGAACGACCGATATTGAGAAGAATAGTAGTGGGGCAATGCAAGAGACTTCTGCATGGATGACCTCAATATAAGAACAATTTTGTGAAAGTAAATTTAAAACAAGCTATAGGAATATTTACTTTCGTAGAAAAAATGACCCTTGATATAATCCCACGGCGCTCTGGTTTTTATTGTCATATGGCTCCTTCAATTCTCTGAGAAACTTGGTATAGTGCCATCCAGAAGAGACTTTGGCCATCGCTGCATCTTTCACTACTCCATGAACCCAGGCACAACTAACTTAACATTCTGATATTTAAAACATTTAACTGTGGTGAATATAAATGTAATAGGACCTTTGCCATTTTAGCTTTCAAAAAATGTTTATCATATTGCTGAGCATCACTATAATCTGTTTCCAAAATTTTCCATTGCTATTAGCAGAAGCTTGGATTTCAGTAGGAGGGGCCTTTATACAATATTGATTTTTTTAAAATTAACCACCTGGACCCAATAAAGATATGTCCCATGCAGGGAGTTTTCTAGGGCAGTTTTAATTAGTTGATACATTCACAAATGAAGTATTTTTGTTCTAAGGGATGGATTGAGTTAGTTTATTGTGCCATCCTGGCCGATAAACACATGTGGGATTAATTGAAGGGTGGAGAGATAAATGGCTTGGTGAGCCTCGCCTTTTGGAGTTCTCGGGTCTCTTGCTTTGTGATGGTCAGAGCAGGGTGCAACTGCCTTAGCAGTTCCCGGCTTCAGCTTGTGAGGCTGACTTCCTGCAAGACATCCCCAA